CATATTTCTCGTTTTCACTGGAGATGCCTGTATGCGTTGGGCAGAGCAGCAATTCGACTGCAGCTGTCACTGAGGATGGTAGTACCGGCTCGATGTACTACTTCATGATGAGCCGCAGTAGAGTTGAAACGTCTTTCCTTCGGACCATCCGAAGGAGTCCACTTCCTCTTTCAATGCCTCCAAACAGCCACTTGTGCCTGCGTACCCAACGTCGGCGGTTGTATTTGCGTTTGATAACCAGTGTTTCGTCAATTTCCATGAGATTTATTTCTGAGAAAGGTGCCTAAGAGTACGCTCTGACTGTGCAATGCTGTCTTTGACACCACATGGCGCCGGCGTCAAGACTGGATGTTACATTCGTGATCAGGACCTAAATAACCCCTATACACACCGTTTTCACGCCAAATTGGCGCCAAACGGCGCCAAATGGCGCCAAATGACACCAGCATCAAAAATGAATGTCATATTCGTAATCAGGGCATCGAATTACCCCAATAGACAAAGTTTCGACGAAAAATGAAACTTTGAGATTTTGGGGCAGTAATCGTGGGATATAATAGGGGAAGGCTGAAAACGGTGAAAAACAAAGTTTCAACTGGGGAAGTAATGCATATCATTCGATAGCATTTTTCACGGGGAAGCTAACGGGGCACATTTCAGGTCTGCGAGTTCATCTGGAAATGCAAAAAATCTGAACATTCCACAAGGGCATGACGAGGAGGCATGTTTGGGGCCACACCACGGAAGGAACGCTCACCTTGCGACCGAGTTTTCCATATAATCCTTACAGACAAGTGACCGTAGTCTACGACAGTGAAGGAAATTGTTCGCTATCTTCACAGCTTTCTGCAAAACATCTCCTCTGAAAATGGAAAATGTCACATAATAGGCCTGCTGAGAACTGTTCAGAAGATTCCACTCCATATACAGAGGATGGGATATTGAGAGCAGAGTGAACACGTAAAACCCGTAAGCGCTTGAAAACAAAATGAATCTAGAGAATCGAACATTAACTTCATCTAATCTCAATACTTAAGTGGAGTTGAGTATACTAGCCATTCTGGGTAACTAGCTTGGCTTCTCTGTGTGTAGCGGTCAGCCCGCATAAGCGGGATTATATACACATCACATGCGAGCAACTACTTTTTGAGATGAAAATCGAGTGCATGGCGCAATCCTATATGGAGCTTTTCCAAAGTATCAAAGCACATTCTTATAGTGTCCGACGAGCTGAATTCAAAGATATCTTCGGATTCTCGAAAGCTCAATTTTGAACCGAGTTATAACGAATTCACGAAATTAACGAGGATTCGCGTTATTCGCGTGAATTTTCGATTTCAAACGGCGAGTACTGTAGTAGAAGGTCGTCGCTTGCGGCTTCTGGCATCTTCACGAAGGAAGTTTACTGGTTGTTAAGCAAAATTTGAAAATCGCCACGCCCCTCAGCGCACCACCCCTAGTGCAGTTGATTGATGGGCGAACTCCGTTGCTAGCAGCGGCATCGTTCATTTTAAAAGGGCTCTCCATTTCAGGGGGTCATCTCATTTATGTTCCCTGTGTGATGAGATATCAATCAAAACGTCACCTTTGTTATCAGATACCGACCATCGGGGTGAACGTGGCCGGAAACCCTCTTTCTTGGCCCGCTCATCCGTGGTCAAAAATGAGCGAGCAAACAAGGGGTTACTACTGTATTTTGCGTCTTCTCGACGAATTTTTCTGCTTTTGTTTCCCTTGATGTGCTGTTGAGCGCCTTCAGGTCCTCTCTAAACCTCTCAAACACCTATTGTAATCGCTGTCTGAGCAATGACGTCTAAGCATCTTAAAGGACGAATTCACGCTGAAAAAGCAACCCATTTCAAATTAACCTAGGGATGGTGAGTGGTACACGAAAGAAGGAAGAACCATGAGAAACGGCCCAGAACCCGAGAAATGGGACCCCTTCCTTGCCCGTTGATTTGAGCATTGATGCGACTCTCATCGCTGTGCCCTCTTCAACACTACGCTCTCTCACCTATCTAATCACTCGCCACGTATAGACCTGCGGCGAGTGATCAGATGATCGGTGGGCGTGCACTGGCCCACCGCGCCAAGATTGAGCCTTAATAGGTCGCCGAGGTCAACTCCTTCGGTGCCAATTGCGCTTCAGTCCGCACCCTCAGGAGGTCCGCGGGTCCCTCAACTAGGTGAATTACTCCTTCTTCGACTTTCATTCTAATCGTGAATTCGTCCTTTAATGTGTTTCAGGCTCATGCTGAATAGCTAATACTTCGAAGACATGAAGCACTACGATTTATCAATTTTATGATGGAATGCAAAAACGTCTTATTTATGCGGAATTCATGAATGCTTGGCAATAGAGCTTAGTATACCCCTTTCCCAGCAATGCGCCACCTCGCATTGCTGCTTGCCTTGGCACTTGTAGTGTACTGCAAAACAAAAGATAACACCTGTAAGTGTACGTTTCTATTAGTAGTATTAGATTGGCACATAGTTTATTATTCACTTCAAAAGAATTGCTGTGTAAATCGTTCAATGAGTATTGAAGCCTTCTAAGAAGCCTTGTAACTCAGCATACAAGTGCATCTATACGAGAAGCTAACCATCTCCTTTGCTCCTTGTCTCCTTGAGCTAGGATTCCAATTTTATGGAAATCGCTCTCAGAGCCTTTTTCTTTATTCACCAATTGGGATTTTTCACGTGCCAAGCTACATAGAGAGTCAACCAGAAGATAGTAGAAGACACGCTTCTCAATCCACTATGCACCGGTGGTGCACTACCGGTGCAATTTAGCGTTGGCTTTTTTTCGAAGTACACCCCGGTGCACAATAGATTGCACCCTATAAAAAACTTAGTTTTTGAGAGAGGCCGAAACTTTTATTGATTCTGCTGTTGATATATTTCCTGGGGAAGTAGATAAATAATGTTGACACAATATTCAGTTAGATACAGTGTCTTTGAAAATTTTTAGAGTGAAATATTGATTTTTTTGGCGGTGCACAATAGATTGGACGACTTGAGATATTCAATTTTTCCGACTTTTTTTCCTGCTTTTTAAGTTTGCATGTACTCACGTATTATGTGAAGTATACGCGTTTCACAAACGAAGACTGGATTCGAAGTGAAGCGTTAACTTCTTCTTGACAAGGGTGATCTCCAAATCTCTAAGGAACCCTTCATTCCTAGGAGTACAGTTGCAACTGTGATCAAGAATCATTCTCAAACTGTTCTTAAGAACAAGGTGGTACAGAAGTCAACTGTTCCTGAGCGCGGCAGGCGCTGCTTGATTAATTTGGCATTGAGTTCCACAAAGGTTGCCTATGAATTGGCTGTCGCTTGCGGGATTGTCGTTTCGAAATGGACCGTGTCTCGTATGTTGAAAATATCGGACCACATAGTTCGACAATAAATAAAGCCGACACTACGCCTGACTCAATATCATCGACATAAGCGGCTCCCTCTTGCGAGGAATGAGAATTACAGAGATTGGGCAGCGGAGTGTTCTGGGCACATTTCCAGCTTTATGTTAAATTTAAATTTCTCATTTCTATTTTCCCTACGGTAATTTCTTTCGATGACATTTTGTCGGCGGAGATGAGTCGTGCTTAACGGCACTCGAACTGGCGCTCTTGCAGAAGTGAACCACTACTGGTGCCTCGAAGCAACATCGGTGCCTTCTCCTAAATGGTTTGGTGGGCATCCTCTAGTGATGGTAGCCTTGAGATTCATTTTGATTCTTGTGAATGAGAAGCCAGAACTATCAGTCACTCCTCAACAACACGTTGGTACCATTCGTTTCTTGAGACTTCAACAAAGCACTTCATCTTCGTGCAAAAGAACGCTTCGAACCACACTTCGTGAAGCACTCTGTCCCACTTTCAATCTAATAACAACCCATTATTTTCATCGCCGGTATGTAATCCTGATACAAACCCTATCGGGAATACATAGGGTATACTGACGCGTAAGATGGGAAAGCGTATGACAATGTTCAGCCGCTAAGAAATACCATTACAAAGGAGTGGAAAACTCT